ATGCAAATTCCTTGTATGTGAAAACCCACTGATTCTGATTATGACAATTTATCTCAACTTGAACTTAATAAATATATAGTTTTACAGATTTTATGTGTGCGGTTGAGGTTTTCTGGGGGTGGAGAAGGGAATTAAAGTCATAATTTATCATTTTTACTATTTAAATCTGACTGAAAGTCTCTTGGTAGTGACTGCAGAGACAAACAGATACATTATATTTTGTTATTAAAAGCAAAAAGCAGCTAGAACCAGTGGACATTTATAGTGTGTATCTGCAGGGATTGTTACAATTACAGGCTTAAGATATAAAGTGAAAATAATTCAAGTTAAACCGGTCAAACAAGGACAAAAACAGAAACAGAAGGAGGATGGAGATCTAGTTATCTCTAATGAATGCAGCACAATAGGTTTTAATTGATCAAGCTGCTACCTCTCTCTCTCACACACACTCACACACACACACACACATAAAGCTGATTAGCCTGCAGCCTCGGTCACGTTAGATTCCCACCTGCCTGTGTGTCAGTGAACACCTCACCGCGAGAGTGAATTTATCTTTATCTTAGTTGTTTATTGGTTGTATTTTGTTTTGGTGCAACACGTCGCATCTTCCACACAACAGAGAGAGAGAGAGACAGAGAGAGACAGAGAGAGACAGAGAGACAGAGAGCTTCCAGAAAAAATCCCCCCGGCATACAGACCTGTGAAGACGGGCGCTTTTTGCGGGAGAGCAGTCCCCTTCCTCCGGCCACTCGGAGCTCCGGCCGGCCGCTGTCAGCTGTTGCAGTCCGGCGGGAAGCTGAAGCTGTTTGTTTTGGGAAATTATCGTTGTCTCTCTCTTTCTTTCTCCTCCGTTAATTCCGGGACGCTCCCCAGTGCGCCTGCCGGGATTGATGAGCGTCACAGTGCGTAACCTCAGTTAACGGTGCTGGCCCGGAAAAAAACCGTGTAATTGCACTTCCTGTTTGGGGGTTCAGGCTTCAAAATAAAAGTTCAGACTTTGGAAAATCTTTTTATTTTACGTTTGATAAAGCTTATAGCATTTTGTATTTTATTGTATATGTATTAATTGAATAAAATGTAATTTAGACCTTAACACATTAAACTGGAACAAACTACAAAGACTAAGGACATTTATATCCATTTGCTCTTATAAAAAGTTGCATTTATCTACTAATGACAATACCTCAAAATATATAGAAAATCAGCCAAAAATCCTCACAGACAGATGTTAAAAGCTGGTCTGTAAAACAGCACTCCAGTGATTGGGACACATTACTGTAGCTGCTTTGGTTTGCCAGTTTTCCACTTTGTGCATTATATAATTATATAAAATGTATAATTATATTAATACACATTTTCACAACTTACCCCACATTTTAATGCTGCTACCCAAGAAGAACGAGCAGCAATTTGCTGCAAACCATTGACAGTATAATACAGTATATATAGTGCAGCAGGTGACTGAGCCTGATATTTGAGGATTAAAGCCAAACTACAATTTTTTGGTGAAGATGGAAAACTGAAACAAAATCACCAATGTACCCATTTGGTTAACCTTTGTTTTTGAATAGCAGAGTACAAATTGTCCTTTTAATCTGAAACGCAAATCACAGGAAGTAAAAGAATATGAAAGAAGAATGGCATTCTTATAAACTAGCTCTGTTGCTGTCTGCTAAATCAGTTTCTCATAAGATTTCCTAGTTTCTGAACATTTTAAGAGGGAGGATGCAATCTCTTGACATTTGCTGCAAGACAAAATAAAAACAAAGGAATGCAAAGAATGACAGAAAAAGGAAAACTGTCCAAACAACCTCTGTCTCTGCAGTGAATTTCTATTATTTATCACAACAGAAACTAAGATCAGACGTAGATTTACTGGATGCTATAAGCCAAAAGGGTTTATTAGACTTTCCTGCTGAACATGGAGATCACAGAAACACATCTTCAATATCTTTTCAAATACAGAAATCATACTGAGCATGTTGTGAAACAAAGCATTTCGACATAACATACAGTATTTTAGTTACAGTGAGCAGAAAATCCATTTAACCACCCAACTCCCCCCTCAGGATAAAGCAACCATCCTTTTAATTCTTGTAACGGATGTAGGAAAGTAAAAACAGGTTATAACGGCATGAAACTCAACAGAACTAACACAAGGAACCAAATCTATTCAAACATGTAACAATCTGAATAATGAAACAGTGACATTTTGTTTGCTCTAGTGTATATTCTAAAAGGAGTTCATATAATGGTTTCAAATTCTGTTCTTTTAACATGTTTTATTATTAAACTTTTGTATCCAGGTTCAATCTACTGAGGGTGCGATATTAATCAATATTTTAATATTATTTATTCAAAGTTTTTTTTCTGAGGCCTGACAACATTCTAGGAAAGCCACTGGGATTTTATGGGAAGACAATGGTGTAGTAAATATCATTTGTATCTAAAAACAAACATTAGTTCAACCCTAATTTGAACGTTTTGCGATACGGTCCAAGTCTGTTGAGCTACATCTCGGTAAACCAATACAGGAACATGCAGTGAAGAGGAAATGTGTAACATGCAGAGAGCTATTGTGGCTGCTTGTGGAGTGGATTTACATCTAGGCGAAGCATCT